AGTCCTGAGTGGCTCTGCTCCGAGCTGGGCGACGTGCGAAGCTCTATTGAGTGGTGTTGTGTTGCTGTGCTGTTATCCTATATGTAGGAACGTTTGCGTGTGTGTGGGTGTCAGCACATGACTTGTTGCTACCTTATCGGACGGTAGACAGTCGATGTCAGGTGAGTTACCTTTGTGTGTCGTGATTTGTACGTGTAGGGGAAGAAGGACGAGTCTTGGGATCAAGGGCTTGACTGTGAGCTGTGTAGTCAAGTGAGTCACGATTCTGTGGCGTGATTTGTGAGTGTAAGGGAAAAAGATAGATCTCGTGATCTAGCGAGTGGTGGTGAACTGTACAGTCATGTATGTGGCGAAAGGGTAGCTACATACCCACTCGTTTGTGCAGTGTCATTGTCTTCTCGTATTCCTCCTTGATTTTTTCAATCGTGCTGAGATGACTAACTCATTGGAATAAATGTGGTCGTATACGGGATCCATCCTTTACCCTTCATTGAATGGGCATTATGCTGAACTCTGCTTCAGGAGGTCGACTGAAACGAATAACCGACTCCTTTCCATATTTTCAGGTCTGTCAGTTCCGCTAACGCGGGTTTGGAAGTCATTTGCTACAGCTTCACTATGGCCACTCCTAAAAGACCGTACGCAATGGTGAAGCAGAGTTCCAGTTCTGTGAAGCGAGGCAGGTAAGGACATCCGTTATCTGTTTTCATAAACAAATGAGTGTGTCTGTTTCCCCGTTGGCATCTAGCATATCATACAGTGATTTGCCCTTCAGAGCGTACATCCATATGGCATAACAAAATAGTGCATGCATTCTTCTCTGAAGGGGACAACCAGTAAGTCTGAAGGGCTTTCACCAATCCATCCAGCGCTATTCACCCTTTACTTTCCTGTTTCTTTGCATCGTTTAACCTTTGTCTGGTTCGAAAAAACGAATCAGGTGCTAATATATCCCCTTTCATCTTTACTGTGGCCATCCTCAAGCTCATTCGCAAGCCGAGCTAGTCGATTTATATTAAACTTTCTGTAGGGACTCTGCAACTCAGCGAAAACCCTGAATTTTTCGGGATATATCGTCGTTCCTATCGTCACATTTTGCAATTAAACTTACAAATACGATAACACACTACGGTCGTTGTTTGGTGTGTGACTGGTGTTAACTCACAGTCATTTGGCCACCACAGAAGGTGTCGCTCATCAGAGCCCTTCAGGAGCTACGGTTGTTCCATTTGACACAGAAACCAGCCAGCATGGAGTGAAATAACCTTTTTTAATGTACTTGTTTTTTTTTCGAACATGGTTTGCTATCCACAATTTATGTGTTCAAGAAACCCTCTCTCTATGTGTGCTAGTTTGGTAAAATTCTATAAAACTGAGTTGTTTTTAGCTACCCACGTTGTTCATCGGTCGTCTTCACAGATTCAGTCCGACCTGATGAACATTAGGGTTTTTTGGTATGTTGTTGGTCTTGCCCCACCAGTTTCTGTGACCGAAACGCCCCGTTTTCTTTACAATTTTCATGGATCAATTTTCGGTCAAGCGGACTGTGTATTAACGTGTGAGCTAGCGAAGGTGAAATTTTTTTTTTNTGTGTGCTAGTTTGGTAAAATTCTATAAAACTGAGTTGTTTTTAGCTACCCACGTTGTTCATCGGTCGTCTTCACAGATTCAGTCCGACCTGATGAACATTAGGGTTTTTTGGTATGTTGTTGGTCTTGCCCCACCAGTTTCTGTGACCGAAACGCCCCGTTTTCTTTACAATTTTCATGGATCAATTTTCGGTCAAGCGGACTGTGTATTAACGTGAGCTAGCGAAGGTGAAATTTTTCTTTTTTCAGTGGAGGTGACAAGTGCACAGGACCTCCGGTAGCGGTTCTCAGTGAACATGCGTAAAATGCATTCATTTATGTTTAGTAGTCGGCTGAAGGCTAGGGCTTAGTGTATTCCCCTCCGTCTGAGATGGCATCAACCAAGATCCAGGGAGTTTTTGGACGCTCTGAGGAATGCTACAGTAATAAATCGACCTTGCCCAAAAAAGCATGACCTAGTGCTGAACGGTTGCCGAAGCCAGTTGCCGTGTCATCACCAGTCAGCCAGTTTTGGTATCTTCCTGCTGTACTGTTGCCCGTTTTGGTGATACCACCCACCTGCTTACGCTCGTGGGCTTGCTACTAGGGTTTTCCATTGTGTCTTTTGTTACCCATACGTCGACCGAATCGTGCTTATTTCGTCATTTTGTCGTAGGATTGTACCTTACCACTCCTGCCATCGACGGTAACTCAGTAATGCTAAACTAGAGTGCCAGCAATTGACCGAAGTATCTGCGTTACATTCACTTACATGACCATACTTGTTGGAGCATTTCGCTTAATACTGATTATACAACGACACATGCAAGCGGTGTAGAATGATGAGATGACGTTCTAGTGTGTCTCTCTGACATCATCATTGGAAGTGGCGCCTACACATATTCCTCAATCTATGTTATATGCCTAACGATTAAAGTGGATTTATGTATTATTGATAGTGTTTTTTAATTTGGTGAGAGGCGAGTAGTACGTCGGTATCGGCAACCACCACGAATGACTCACTACAATTGGTTCAGATCCGTGACTGGCGCCGGTGGTGAAAACGTCACGGATAAAGAGGATAGGGAGGAAGATGTGTCATTTACATAATTGAAGCCACACGGGCGTGCCATCTCCTCACTCGTAGTGGTCCAAACATACACTTGATAATTGCAATGGTGTCAAAATTAACAACAACTCAGGTTCAGCTACTCCGCAACAATTCTTGAGATGATGGTCCCTCGGTAATCAGCAGTTGATTTCGTGGAATGGATACAATTACGAAAACTGAACAAATCAATTCAGTTTAGAAATTCTTTATCTTTGTGAAGAGTTTATGCCAATTTCCAAACCAAGCACTGACAAGTTCCATTACCGGACTGGTGTGAAAGTTGTTTTCGGTGAATTAGTCGTCATTGCCTGAAAACGTCCTGGCGGTTAGAACGTACTGGAAAGGCATTTATTTCCTAGTCATATAAAGCTGATAATTTTGTCACTTTGCTCTGTCAAACCCTAGTCTCATTGCCCTCGTTTACCTTCTTAAAAATAAAAAAACGGATGGGGATGCTGTAACTCAATGGTTCAGCTGGAAAGCTACTACCCATGAAGTTTCATGTTCGACGGTTTGGGAAACCTGGCGTTATGTTTAATGCCGTTCTGTATACTTAGTAAAAGCGCTGTGGGACGATACCACAGTTGAACTTTCACCATAAAATTACGAGGAAAACTCGTTCGTCTTCGCTCCTACCGGCAACTCATACTACTTATGAGCAGGTTATCCTTTGATTACTTAGTTGACTGTATAATAATGACGTGAATATGTATCATTAGCACATAGTGAGCATTCTTGTGCACGGGAGTTCTCAATTATTAGGTACGTTCAGTAGTTTGAATAGCTGGTCGACGAGAATTTCGTATCTGTGAAATTTTTTCTGGTTGTGCATGGAGATGCAACAATTCAGTTTTGGTACTAGAGACGGGATACCAAGTAGATTCTGGGGCAGCGGGTTTCCCCAAACCGAATGTGACAGACGTTTATGGAGTAGACTAGACTCATAGCTGAAGTCGATGACGGTGCTGTACTGTTTAAACTCGTAGGTTTCGGTCGTCTTCGGTGTACTGACTAGGCATCCAGGTGCACTAGGGATGGCAGCATAATTTCTGCATTTCTCTGGACTATTACGCTCGTGATCTAGCTTGTCAAGAGCACTGGTATCATCTGAAGCACCTATGACGTATCCCGTTATGGGGCCTTTTTACCTTTGTAGTGAAATCACTGTCCACTATGACGATACTTCACGCTAATACTTCCATCCATCTAGTTTTTCCCTCTCTATTTATATTATTTAAGGGGCGAGGACCACCCGGAACCATCGAAATTTGAGCAAGAACTAATGTTGTTGGATGAGTTGGAGGCAGAGGATGTGGCATTGGTAGATGAGAGTGCAACACTGGCTGTCGTCGATGCGTCTCCCAGTTCTCTTTGGTCAAGGCCTATCCCGCCATCAATGGACCCCGATCGTGATAGTATTATCTTTCAGCAATTCGATGTGTCTCATTACAAGGTAAAAATACGACTCGTTTCTCTGTTAACTTGAGCGTAAGATTTATCCCTAACTATTTAATGAGTAGATTGACGGGATGGTCCTTCACACCTGTTTTTTGACCAGACTATTCTTCAGTTATGTATGCTGACTGTAATTATCAATTCACTTTTTCAGGAAATTGACTCCTACCACTTTCAGGTAGTTCTTGACCATGCAACAGGCGTTTTCAGACACTGTTGTTTTGATTTAGGCATTCTGTTGATATCTCGTTTTGTTTGCCATCTGGTTTGACGTTTGTTTCAACATCACTAACTTACCCTGTCACTGGGCTTTCCCAGCACCCCCAAACGTTTTGTGCACCGATGGTAACGGACGAGTCTTGAGCTTTTGGCGTGCAACCGGAAGATCTCGCTAATGAAGGAAGCAAAATCATTCTCCCGACATTCGTTTCTAGATGTATCCTTTTAGTTCAGTTCATACTTTTTACTATGAACCTGCAAGCGAGGCTGTCTACATAAGGCCATCGCATGGGCCGTACCTGATCTGCAGTCCGTGCTCTGTGCCATAGGTCGTTTGGTTTTTCCGTGAAGTAAGTTTGTTATTGGAGGTAGTATACTTTCTTAGTAGACACAAATGCTGGACACCACAGAAAATAGGTAATTGTCTGATTGGCTCACAACTGGTTACTCTAAGTTGTGGTATGTGGATATTACTAAACCTCTATAGGACGTCGCGTCACATCGAAGAATTGCAAAATAGAAGTGCTCTTTGTCGTCATCATCAGTAGTGGAAACTGATGATCATCTGCCATAGAACCATGCAACTATGAAGAAAGGGGCCTATTAAGGGATGAAAAGGAAGGGCAGGCTGAGGACTAACCGCGAAACCCCGGTTTCTTTATAGAAGATGCCCAAGGGCGTGGTGCCTACACTTTCCAAAACTATTGAGATAAATACATCTAAGTATCATTTTGGAGCAAGACTCCATCAGCGGGTTTGCTCCAGTGTTCTTTGTAAATATCATCCAACGAAAGCCCATTATACAACGGCAGATCAGCCCTAGCTAGACAGCTCGGCTAAGAAGTGACAGCGAACTCTCCACTGGAATCGGTTGCCTGGCATTTCCTGTAGGGTTTCCAGCAGCGTTCAAAGAGAATCGTGTGAACCTCGCCCAGGAAAGTACAAAGATCCAACAGTATCCAACTTGGCAGTGGTTGCTTTCATTTCGCGTCACGTCGCATCCCCAATGAACTTTTCGCCATCAAGAACCTGGGAGAGAATACACAGCGGTCTTTGATAGACAGTGGTCATGCATACATAATACGGAACCCCAACCACCTTCACCTCATATGCCTTATCTTCCGCCGGAGCGAATCCAACTCATTGATTAATACTGACATACGTAAACAATGCATGAAGTTGACGCTGTTATACTACGGAGACAGCGGTGATTCAGTTGCTGCAGACGTTTGAAGTTTTCCAGATCAGCGGGACAAGTTTTGCAGCAACATAGTAGAACTACTTTCATGTATCTACTTTTTGTAGATATGGCCCTTTCACTTCAAGGGTATTCGTTCATGACGCCAAGGGTGATGCAAGTTGGCAAATATGTCAGTTTTTTTCCGTCGACGATCTTTCCACTCGGATCCTTCTTTCCGCTCGGATCCTGTTTCTATCTTCCGCATATTTTGGCGCTTTTTGAATGCCGACATAATAACCTCGTGTGGAGCTTGCTGGGAGTGCTGGCCTTGAATAGAATGCGTATCAATTTTCAAAGTCCGTAGCCCAGCTGATACGTGGTAATATGGTGACTCCCTGAGACTTTAAAAATCGATCTTGGACGTCCAGGAGTGTCTGTTTATTCTGAACGTGGCTCACGAAATTATTCGTGCGGGGCAGTTAGACGGCATACTCTTTCCACATAGTGATGCGTGCTTTAGCATATATTTGCTGCGAAGCCACCTGCTGTTTCGAAGGGATACGACACATTTGCTAACCAGATGCTGGTAGCCCATCCTGAACCCTGAGTTTTGTCCAAGCGACACCACTTTGTAGGACAACTTCACATTTCTCACCCCGTTGTAGAGGTTAACAGTAGCCCGTAGACGTTGTAGCTCTTACTTGTTAGGTTTTTCGACTCTTTGCACGCATTGTCTGCACCTCTGGAATGCAGTCTAACACTCAGCTACCGTTTTCTACTTTCGATTTTCCCTTGTATCCTTTCCCCCTTCATGTTTGTAAACAATATAACGAACACCACCTCTGGGTAGACTCACGTCTCACCATCCTGCATCAGACGTCTCGCTAGATTTCCTTTCCTCACAGCATGCACACTGTCTCAAAAACTCTGAATATAACTGAATCACTGCTATTATTCCTTTTGCTGTATTTGGTTAGGGTGACCGACTGGCGGGAATGCCCGGTGCAGGCGAGAGCCCTGTTCCGATCGTCCGCTTATTTGGTATCACACAAAAGGGAAACAGTGTATGCGCCCATGTTCACGGATTTGTCCCCTATTTTTACGTGCCCGCACCCAAAGATTTCTCCGTTTCACACTTGGGCACTTTTCGGGAAGCATTAAATACTGCTCTACTAAAAGATGCGCGAACAAAGGAGTTCGATGGCCTCAAACATCTGGTCCTGATGGTCGATTGTGAACAAAAACAAAGTGAGTCCAATAACTATTTTCTTCATGTTTTCATGAGATCCGTGCGTAGCTTACTGCGTTATTGCCAACTAACATCAGAGCTCTGTGATTTATAAACCAAGAATTTGATATTGCCCTAATTTTTTTTTCACATTTTCGTTCTTTGGAAGTGACTTGAAACGACAGTGAGCACCTTGATTATCATTGGATTCTTTTAAGAAGGTTTGTTTTTGTAAGACATACTTCAGAATGAGTACGTCTCTTCACACGTTCATCCGGTTACCTAGCCATATTTCTCCACTCATTTCCTCCCCATACTAGATATATACGGCTATCATGGCAAGCGCAAGCTGCCATTTCTCAAAGTGACAGTCGCTCTACCTCGCATCATAAGCGCTGCCAAACGAATACTGGAGAATGGATTTGCTTTCGGAGAATACCCCTTTCAGGTAAGTTTGGGTTTCTTGGGCAGTCAACCAAAGCACTCCCTTTTGCTTACCGTATTTGAGCTTCCGCAATTTTGTCAATATTAGAGCACTCATGAAGCATGTATCTTCACGCTATCTCTGTACATTTTCATCGTGTTTAGTTGGTTTGCAGTTTATTGTGGCAGGGTGAGCTGGACGTGACTGTGACGTGCGGGAATATTGCAGCCTTGTTGATGGGATCGATGTTTGGCTTGAGTTCCCAGTTGGTGACATGTTTGTCCGTTTTGGCTGGGATTTGACCTACGGTTAGGTATCAGCTCGTCATTATACAAAGGTGGTCCTTATGTGATGTCGTCATCGTCATCTGAATAACACGTGCGGTTGTACGTACTTGAAAACTATTCACCCCTCATGTTATTTTTTCGGTTTCCAGTCTTATCCAGCTTTTGAGGCAAATATTGATTTCGAAATCCGTTTTATGGTCGACACCGAGATCACCGGTTGCTGTTGGGTGGAAGCTCCACCCGGAAGCTATCGTCTTCGGGATTCATCAGATGTCAACGATCAGAAGGTGTGGGGAAATAGTTCAGCCCAAAAATCTCACTCCAATGTTGCACCAGCTCAGTCCCGATGTCAGATTGAATTTGACATAGCTTGGGATGCACTTATCGCTCATCAACCTGATGGTGAGTGGAGTTCAATCGCTCCTCTGCGGATCCTCAGCGTGGACATTGAGTGCGCCGGACGGAAAGGTAACCCAGTTTCCGTTATATATCATGGTTTCTGAAAGTTTCAACTGTTCGTTTTCAACTTGTACATCTTTTTCTCTCTCCTTAGGTATATTTCCTGTACCTGATCAAGATCCCGTCATTCAAATCGCTACGATGGTGTGCAACTACGGGGAGAGTACGCCGTTTATTCGAAATGTGTTCACACTAGACACGTGCGCTCCGATTGTGGGTTCGCAGGTTGTGTGCCACAAAACGGAAAAGGAGTTACTCGAGGTGTGTTTTCGTCGTTAAGCACTCTTATGAGACCGTCCTCTGATCGAATTCTTGTCAAATTCTAAACTTTTATGGCTTTGTGGAGATTTCGTCCTGCAAGTGAAGCCAATCTATGCTGAAAAGCCGAGAAGCACTGGCTTCTCGGCTTTTCAGCATAGATTGGCTTCACTTGCAGGACGAAATCTCCACAAAGCCATAAAAGTTTAGAATTTGACAAGAATTCGATCAGAGGACGGTCTCATAAGAGTGCTTAACGACGAAAACACACCTCGAGTAACTCCTTTTCCGTTTTGTGGCACACAACCTGCGAACCCACAATCGGAGCGCACGTGTCTAGTGTGAACACATTTCGAATAAACGGCGTACTCTCCCCGTAGTTGCACACCATCGTAGCGATTTGAATGACGGGATCTTGATCAGGTACAGGAAATATACCTAAGGAGAGAGAAAAAGATGTACAAGTTGAAAACGAACAGTTGAAACTTTCAGAAACCATGATATATAACGGAAACTGGGTTACCTTTCCGTCCGGCGCACTCAATGTCCACGCTGAGGATCCGCAGAGGAGCGATTGAACTCCACTCACCATCAGGTTGATGAGCGATAAGTGCATCCCAAGCTATGTCAAATTCAATCTGACATCGGGACTGAGCTGGTGCAACATTGGAGTGAGATTTTTGGGCTGAACTATTTCCCCACACCTTCTGATCGTTGACATCTGATGAATCCCGAAGACGATAGCTTCCGGGTGGAGCTTCCACCCAACAGCAACCGGTGATCTCGGTGTCGACCATAAAACGGATTTCGAAATCAATATTTGCCTCAAAAGCTGGATAAGACTGGAAACCGAAAAAATAACATGAGGGGTGAATAGTTTTCAAGTACGTACAACCGCACGTGTTATTCAGATGACGATGACGACATCACATAAGGACCACCTTTGTATAATGACGAGCTGATACCTAACCGTAGGTCAAATCCCAGCCAAAACGGACAAACATGTCACCAACTGGGAACTCAAGCCAAACATCGATCCCATCAACAAGGCTGCAATATTCCCGCACGTCACAGTCACGTCCAGCTCACCCTGCCACAATAAACTGCAAACCAACTAAACACGATGAAAATGTACAGAGATAGCGTGAAGATACATGCTTCATGAGTGCTCTAATATTGACAAAATTGCGGAAGCTCAAATACGGTAAGCAAAAGGGAGTGCTTTGGTTGACTGCCCAAGAAACCCAAACTTACCTGAAAGGGGTATTCTCCGAAAGCAAATCCATTCTCCAGTATTCGTTTGGCAGCGCTTATTTATGGCTGTTCGCCATGTCGCACTGCGAGCGTTTGCCCGTTATCTAGTGGTAGCGACTTCAATGTGCGGAGTCCTTGATTGGAAGGTGCGTATTTCAGCGATTGTCACCATCTAAGCGTGGCCAGAATCGCAACTTTTGTCCCTAATGAGTACTGCGGCTTAATGACTCGATTTTTTAACGATTAGATCATTCTGTTTATGATGTAGAGCACAGTGTATAGATTTGACGCGTCGGGAAGTAATATCACCTGGAGGCCATTCCTCGATATGAATTTCTCCGTTTACGCTCGACATAATAGTTGATGCAAGCTAAACAAAGATAGTTTTCTTCCTGGATAACTATTGACACTTCATAGAGCTCTTCAGCGTAGTATCGCGGTGTTCATACGGGATCACGTATCTTTATTACAACGCTCGGCGGTTCCGGGTAGTCTACTGCCACAGCTGTTCGTTTACTTCAGTACATAACAAGAAATCTGCCGAGCTTGAGGGTGACAAGGTCTATGTGTTGTGCAGGTTTATGGGCAATAAGCATTTTTCACATCACCTTGCTATTCCTGTCTGGGGACACGTAATCCAAATGACCCACCAGAGACTGCTTCGGTATCCGAAATAAGGAGACTGTGAGTAGGTTGTGGTGAATGTTTAATTATGTCATCAACCGGAGGTCTTTGCAGACAATGAAGGCGGTACTATCAGTCTGTCGGCACGCATTCAGCGTACAAAGGACCTGGGGATAATTTTCCTGACGGGATCACTATAGTCGTTGGCTGTTGGTATCATAATCAGTGAAAGCGTATTTTGGATTCAAACATTCCAATCTAAATATACGGTTTTTTTATTAAAAAAAAATGACTGAAGGGGTCCTCAATCCAAACTGCTCTCCGGTCGACGAGACCTAGTAACGGGGCAAGACATATCGCTCTTCTCGCGTCGAAGTATTGAGGGTTTTTCAGATGCTCTGATTAAATCGTCAACGTTCCAACTCCGGACACCTGCATTTGAATGCTTGTCCAAAAATCCATTGACGTTGCAAAATTTCACTGCACCTGCACCTGCGACTCGAGTTTCCTTTTGCCGACCATCTTGTTTGAGCTGTTGAGATATAAATGCACGGGATTTAGCAGTCCCTGGTGTAGACATTGCGAATGCTTGGAACACTGGCACGTTTAGTCAGTCTCCTGTTTACTAATGATTCAGGCTCTGCAGAAGTGCTTGGATGATGTGCTATGGAACTTCACCTCTTTCGTTGTGAGTTGACAAACTTTGTCCTTTTGCCTTATCAGCATTGGGCCATGTTCGTGCGACAAGTTGATCCAGATATCATCACTGGTTATAACACGCAGAATTTTGACTTACCATACTTGATCAATCGAGCAAATCATCTGAAAGTGGACAGCTTCGCTTTCCTCGGCCGTGTTCGCGGCGCCAGATCCACCGTGCGCGACGTGATGACACAGTCGAAACAAATGGGGAGACGAGAGAACAAATTCACCAATATCGAGGGGCGCGTTCAGCTGGATTTGCTTCAGGTATGGAATTCTCAGTCTTTATATATCGTACTAATCTTGCCTTTTTCTCCTACTGCATATTATCCCTTTAATGTCACTAGGTTCAAAAACCACACACACACACACACACTACAATCTGCTCTTGTTCATCATGCCAGGTACAACTGAATACTTCGATTGTCGTTGTCGACAATTGTTGACTCGTGGGTCCTCTATCTATTAACTTTGCCGATGTGATGTCCTAACAGCTTACTAAGGTCGTTTATGTAGATAACACAATGGTCATTGAGACTTATTTGAACACCTTGCAGGATCCTGTTATCAACCGAAAGTAGTCCATACATTTGCCTGACTGTTTACTGTATTTCGGTTGCTTGCCTGAGGCCCTTCCGTCTTTGTTAGTGCAGTCGGTGAACCCGCTTTCTGTTCAGTTGTCCCTGATATTGGTGGGCTTGCGAACTCACAGCCTGAGCTTACCCAGCGGCGGTTTGTGCAATTTGTATATTATATACAGGTCTGCTTATTCGCTCATCACGGACGACAATTGCTCTCCATCGTGGCTTTACCATAGGTGCTGCCAATTCCTGGGCCTTCTAGCAATAACTCGGCCATCGTACTCGCGGTAGATGTACGCCAAAAAGGAGTACAGCTGAGCGATTTGATTTCTTATGCTTTCCCTACTGTCTTGGTTTCCAATTTCACCTTGGGAACCATAAAAATGTCATGTGAATGCCATCCCATTCTTCCAAACGGACTTAACTTCCGTTTTCAACATCGGTTTGAATCTGCTTACGTACGGCTACCTAATTGGGTGTAACCTTTGGTTGCCGATTTTATCAGGTTGTGGTGCAGCTGTTCAAAGCACTCACCCATCATCATCATCATTGTCAGCTGTAATAACCGCGTACTCGTCGTACAATGGTTGTAGCTGCCGCAATTTCATTCGCCGATGATTTAAGGGGGGTAGGTAGCTGTGCATTGCAGGTGAGAGCTGATAAATTGGTGCATAAATCCAGCACTGTCAGTGGGCTGTCAGGTGGGATGGGGAGGTTGGAAAAGGAGCTATGCATTGAAGGCAATAGCTTGGATGCACGGGCGCCATTGAGGGCGCGACTGAGCCATGTCTGATAATGTCTAACCATTGATTTGGCCCGTCTCGGGGTCCCCATCCAGGAAGACGGCAGTGACCAGCGCAGCAGGATAGTCTGATACTTTCTGAATTCAGTTTGGTAAAAGTTTGTGCACTCTTGCATTTTTTTATTACCCACTTTTTTAGACGGAATTTTACGGCCATGACCCTTCTGCTCTCTTTTCTCCATACCATTATTCCTAAGCGTCCCTTCATTCGCATTTGCATTTTCTCCTGCAGATTTTGTTCCGCGACTATAAACTTCGCAGTTACACGTTGAACGCAGTCAGTTACCATTTTCTGGAGGAACAAAAAGAGGATGTAGAGCACAATGTAATTTCAGACCTTCAAAACGGGGATGCCCATACACGCCGTCGGCTGGCTGTCTACTGCCTAAAAGATGCCTACCTGCCATTGCGACTGTTGGACAAATTGATGTGCGTGGTGAATAACATTGAAATGGCACGTGTGACTGGGGTTCCGTTGACCTATTTGATCACCCGAGGACAACAGGTCAAGGTAAGTACTGCGAACGATGACGTCCTTTTGTAGATACATCCCATACATGGACTATTAGAAAACTACCCCCTCACACTGTTCCAACTACTTCACCGCATCTTAATCGATATGACCTGGCATGTCTCATTGGATGCTTGTAGTAGGAACTCCCGTAGGTCTGGTGAGTCGGAGTTATTGAGACGTTTTCGGGTACGTTCATTCTATAACGTGGGTATCGGAGGTGGATCACGTACGTTCTTTCTCCCAGTTATATTCACTCCTGGAACTTGGTGAAAGTGCTTTTTTTCGTGGGGTTGACCGAGTCTCTAGCCTTTTGTGACAAACGGATGTCTTTTGAGTCCTATCTCTTCCTTTGAGCTCGTTTGGATCATAATTTTCTCACAGTGGGAAATAAACATGAGTGGCTATACGCTCTTCCGCAGCTTAACTTGGTGTAGTGGGGTGACTCACCTGAATATAAGCTAGATCGCTCATTTGCAATACTCCTCAATTGATTGCGCTGTACAAAGGCTGCCTCGTAGATCAGTTAGAGTGATATTCAAGATATTGAAGTAATTTTCTTGACACAACATTACTGCTAAGGTTGAGAAGATTTTTCGACAGTCCACGCATTGCATATCTTGTGCAATGGGAATATTACTCAATGCGGACTCCATTCGCATCTTAATCTACTCGTCGCTTGATCCGGTGGACTGCCGATGTTTATTAGGGAAAGGTTTGCCTGTACAAAAGCAGTCTGCTGAACGGTCGTTCAACTCGAACTGAGACTATTTGGAGTCAGCATCGATTAGGATGTAAATGGTCGGTTGCAGCTGGTTTTTTTAGCATGTATGTGAACCAACCGGTCCACTAAGGGCTGCCTGATCTGTTTTTTTAAACTGATCATTGTTTTCATTTTACCCGTCCCTGGTGGAGTATACAACAAGTAGGATTAGACGTAACTGTTTCCCTCTACTTATGCTATTGTCCCACGGTTTTTACTCGTATCCGTGTTTCTGATGCCTCACTAATTGTCTTAATGTCTTATCCTGTCGCGAGGAGACTTGATAGTATTGTGGTGAAATTATTTGTATAGTTCAGAAATCCGTTGAGCTATATCGATGAGTGCTCCTTCCACGTCTACAAAGCGTTTCTCACCAGTTTGTTCAATTGATAGAAACCTGGCAAACAATCTCCTGGCCCTCCAGGTTTGGATTAGAACAAGTGTGGCAATTTGTTTCTTGAAATTTTGCCTACTCCGGTAGTCTAATTCGGACCACGGCTGCCTTGCCCTCAGACTTCTGAGCCAAAGACTGTGGCTGAGAATCCTAATCGTCCTCCTGTTTAGGTACTCTGACAGTATTCCATCCCACGTACAATCGTGGTACGGCAGTGGAGCTTCGGTGTCAACACCAGTGTTGCTGTCTCCGATGTTTTGTTTGTTCAATGATAGAAACCTGGCAAACAATCTCCTGGCCCTCCAGGTTTGGATTAGAACAAGTGTGGCAATTTGTTTCTTGAAATTTTGCCTACTCCGGTAGTCTAATTCGGACCACGGCTGCCTTGCCCTCAGACTTCTGAGCCAAAGACTGTGGCTGAGAATCCTAATCGTCCTCCTGTTTAGGTACTCTGACAGTATTCCATCCCACGTACAATCGTGGTACGGCAGTGGAGCTTCGGTGTCAACACCAGTGTTGCTGTCTCCGATGTTTTCATGTCCATTAGGGGTTGTTTCATGAGAGCTTAGCACTCCCATCGCATGATTTTGTAATGTAACTTAAATCCACTCCCTGTTCTAAGTAATCTATCCTTCTATCCTCCGTAGGGCGACTAAGGCACTGAGTAAAATAGAATTGCTTCAATCGCTCAGTGATCACCTGCTGTCCATTCTGTTCGTTTCCTGTACCAGTCAACATACAAGTTGAGAGTCAAGTACTAGTACTGATGTATTGCTGTTGGTGATGGTTTTGATGATGAGGGGAAAAATCGAAAGTCCACCAAGGAATGTAGAAATCTAAGTCGCACAGTGATCGCGGGTCTTGAAATAGATGTCCTTGTTGCGGAGTTTGTGAGGCGGGGCCTTGGTCATCATCAGGCCTTCGGTAACAGAGTGTGAGTGTGTGTGTCTGGATAAAATAGGAGTGAATTTGTGGGCAATGGTCTTTTTGCAGCTTATTCACCAACAGAGGGTATGTTTGATCATCGGTGCTGTTCCAACTTGTGGAGCACAGGACGACCAGGTCAGCATCTGGCGGTAATCTTGACGTCGCTTATTTTTTATCCACAAAGATGTTATTTTTTCTTCCAACCATCCTACAATACCATAACCTATCTATCCAACCTGGAAAAGCTGGTGTATCAAAAATAAAACGCCGCCCGTCAGGTGTTGCGGTGACTGACAGCGGTCGGCATTAGTCATTATTCAGTTAGTTGAAGTATTGTATTATCTTCCTCTCGTATTCTACGTCTTAAAGGTGCTTGTCGACCAAATATACCAAGTGCACCTTAACACATCACGATTATTTCGGGAATACACCAAACGTTGTTCGGAAGGCTGTTATCGCCATTCCGATGATAGGCGATTCATCAAAATCACAGTGTTTGGTCCTGATCCACTGAGCTTCAATCTCGTGGAGACAGGGAGGACAAGTTCTTCTAACATGCACCCGTTGGATCTATGTAACTCTTTCAATGAGAACTGAGTTCTTGTCTGCTTTTGTTCTGTTGCTGACAGTTTCGAATCGTAAGTCGACTATCTCGCCCTGTCAATTTATTATTCCTCTAAGCACCATACTATATCTTCAGTATTTAAAATTGTTGCCTCCTTATTCTCACACTGCTATCTATTCTACCTCCATAGATCTCACCTTTTCGCATCTCTGCTTCGGTCATCTTAACAATCTCTGTTGCCAACCTAATGGACAGTATGTTCAATTCTAGCATACGACTGTTGCCGATTCTGATAACCACAACCGGGATTGCTTGATGGCAGGTTTTCCGTTTAACATCAGCTTCCAGGCTTTCTGCTTCTCCTCACATTGATTGGGTTTTATTCTATATTGCTGTCAATTTTCAGCATCGTTTCCGAAGATCCAACTGCAGGTGCTTCTACATCTTTCCAATCGAGACCCTCATAGACAGATAGTTTTACTTCCAGGCGCAGAATAAACGAAAAATAGGCTCGTGAACTGAGGAAGAAAAGCCGCATGGTTTATTATGTTTGGGTCTTGTTATCTTCGGAATGGCTATAACGGTAATCGCCCCGTTGGGCGAGCACGTCGGGAAATTTAAAAACAGTTAGATTCGGGAGGGGAGTTGTTTCTCTGGAAAAGCAATCGACGGCTGCGTTCAAGAACCCACAAAGATACACAGGGGGAACGGTGTTTATTTAAAATACGTCCGAAAGTTCTTTTCCTTCGTTTTTCGTCACTGTTTCTCTTGGAAAGTTTTCTGAACCTGGAACATGTGTGACTGTCTGTATTATAGCCTTCCGAACTATCTAAGCCTCATGTATTGAAGCAGTAAGTAGTATGACGGGTTTGTCAAATACTCTCTGATTTCTTCGTTTTTTGTTGTACTCGTCTGAGAGTTCCATCGAATTTGGACAGTCGGTTAAGAATTGTTCGATGGATACTAACCAATTGTCACGTGTCCTTTAGACGCTACTTTCGGAGTTGATGTTCATTTCGGCAGAGTCTAGTCGGGTCACCGAAACCTTCCTAATTAGTGATCGATGTTTCAGTACTACTCAGCCGCACTAGGCTAATGCAGCCTGACAGGTGTGAGTGTACAGCCATGTTATGTTTTTTGTCTGGCTGGCTTCCTTATTCCCTTGCGGGATTAATAGCAGCCCGATTAGTTTTCGTACTCTTGTTGTTATGATTCCTCCACTTAAAGATGAAGTGATGTAGTTTTCGTCCCAAGGTGGTGAACGAATATCAACGGCTTGGGTCGTCCATTACTAACTACGACAGTTATCCCAGGGTTTGCGTTCCATTTATCACCGCCCTGTTATTGTCTCACTACTCACCCGCAACGCCCAAGTATTTAGGGAGCGTCACGTTCTCAGTATCTGCTCAACTGTACTTGTCCACCAGTACTCATGTTGACGCTTTATTCTCGCTTATCCTTGCATGTAATTAATGATTTCTCTTATCCAAGCTGCTCAGTTCTTCCGGTCAGACACTGTAGGCGTCCTTTTAATCACCTCACTTTGTTGCCTCAAAAGGTCATTTCACAGCTTCTACGCAAAGCTCGGGAGCATGACTTTGTTTTACCGACGTACCAGTCACAACAGGGTGACGAATACGTTGGGGCCACTGTATTGGAGCCCATCAAAGGATTTTACAACGAACCAATTGCCACGCTCGACTTCGCTAGTCTGTATCCCAGTATCATGATGGCCTACAATCTGTGCTATACTACCCTTATGCAAGTGAGTAGTACACCCGGCGGAGCAGCAGCTGGATTGAATGCTTTTGTCGAACGATACAACCTTTCTCCGGACGACTACATCTGCACACCAACGGGGGCATATTTTGTCAAGTCTTCTGTCCATCGTGGCCTGCTGCCTGAGATATTAGAACAGTTGCTCAGCGCTCGTAAAAAGTAAGATTTTTTCCTTAAGAATAATATGCCACACAACTTAAAGATATATATATATATATATATATA